AATCAGCTACCCCTCATCCCCCTCTAGGGGGAGCCCTGGAGCACCAGGATATTGCCTGCTGTCTGTCTGGGGACTGGACCCCTGACCCCTCAGGCAACATAGCCCCCCCACCTCTCCAGGATTCAGATTAGCCTCTCTACGTGAATGCCAAACCTCTGATCTCCAAGTTATGTCTATCTATCTATCTATCTATCTATCTATCTATCTATCTATCTATCTATCTATCCATCTATGTCTGTCTGTAAACATACAAGATGTGGAAATATGGAAAAGATAAATATATAGATTTGATTTTTTTAAAGTTTTTAAAACTTAGGGCAGCTATATCAAGCTATCTATATTGTAATGAAAGTTATAAACCCTGTAACAGAGTTGAGCTTCATATGGTTCATAACGAACACAGGGGGGATTAAAGCAATGTGTCAAGCTTCCAGGCATTATATGTCTGAACATGGGGGACTGACAAACAAAAACAAAGTCCATAAGCAGAAACCTATTCCTCAGGAGTCTCTTATTGTTACTAAATGACTCTACAGGAAGCGTCGCTAATGATTTTACCACAAATCAGGGGAAGTTATGATTCACCAGGAAGTAGGACTAATGATTTTGCTATGATACAGGAAGGCGGCCTGAGTGTCTCACTACCCTGAAATGCGTCGCCGCTAATTTGGTTACCCCGACAAACTATGGGCTAAAATAATATACAGTATTGACTTCCTAAGGAGTAAATCTTATAAAGAAGGACGAAGGTCAAAGAAAGAAAAACAGCATTTCTCTGTCATCTCCTACGGGGTGTTTCCATAGCAACGATGTAGGAGCGCAAGACAATGGAGTTTTGTCTCCGGGAAAGATGACAGCAGTAAGGTGAAATGCGTAGAGAGAACCAGGTCCGGCCTGAGCACTGCCGGGAACAGGAACGATCTTCATTCTCAAAGACCAGTTGGTCTAATAGCCAAGCCAAAGCGAGGCCAACCAAAGACCCCAACACTCTGCACTTAGTAAAGTGTTCACAGAATACCGCTGTGCTCAGCAGAATCTCTGCTGCATTATAATTGGCTACAAAGCCCGAAATCAATACGTATGAATAAGCAATATCCTCCTGAAATGCAGCCACCTAAGTGAATTTGTCTCCTTCAAAATGTTTTGGGACGGTGCCCTTCTAATGACCTTATGTGTCACATGCACAAGAATGTCCATTTATGGAATGGGGGAATATTATGGGATGTAGACCCCAGAATCCAGGTGCCTAAGTGCCATGCCTCCCTGTCTGCCTCATAGGCTGGACACAGGTTATAATTTACAGGTTACAGCTGTGCTCTAAGTATCCGTAATGAATAGGCCAGGTACAGGGTAGACAGCCCCCATTACATCACAAAGGACTCGTGATGATCTGCTCTAATTGTAAAACTGCTCATTGACTCGGGGTTAGCTAGCAAGGGGTTAGATACCCAAGGGATTAGGCTAACTACCACTTCTCTTGCGCAGAGTCTTGTGCAGGTCGTGCCTCTTGCTGACTTCCGTGGCAATGGCATGCTGGCCTGGTGCCGTCAGAGCCGGCTCTGCCTGGGATCCAGATCCGGCTGCGAGCTCACATTTGTGCCAGTGAAGAGTCACAGGTCATGGTGAAAGGAGCAAACCGTGGAGGCCAACATTACCTGCTGAAGCAGCATGTTATGCTAAACCGCTAGCTAGCTACAGCCTTCTGACTCTCTGAGGGGTGGTGGGCTGCATGAGGCCCTAAATATCATCATGAGGTTCAAAGCAAAAACTGACAACACTGTCGCCTGCCTTCCCTGATCTTATACCTGCTTCTCTTTGCACAAGGCTGCTGTACGTGCAAACTCCACCCCCCCCCCCCCACCACTACAATTTCCCCGGCCTTGCTCAGTGTTTGCTCTGCCAGATGAGGAGTAATGTGATTGTCCACAGCCTGCACTTTAACAATATCCGTCCGACCCCTAGCAGAATGGCCTGGATCCCAGAAAGTCCCAGGTGGACGAAGAGAAAATCACAGGCAAGAGAAAGAGGGAGGGAGACAGGGAGGGAGGGAGAGAGAGAGAGAGAGAGAGAGAGAGAGAGCAGACACAGAGCGGGAGAAGATGTGGCTCATTAAAGCCAGATGATGTCACATCCGCGATGCGACAGCAGTAGATACCTGGGAAGCAAAACGCACCAATCATACGAGAGAGAACTGACTCTATCTGAAGGCTTTGGGAGAAGCCGAACCTCCTGGCAAATGGTCACCTCTTTTCAAGAGTCGATGTTGTTGTGGGCTCAAAATGAGGATTTAGCGCAAGTACATTTCTCTGTGCCTTATTTATTCTGGATAAAACTTTATTTTCCCAGCAAACAGTGAATCTAATCACTGTTCTGTGAGAGCATTATGTTATTATAGGGACTCCAAAATTAGCATCCTGCGCTATCAGCCATCCTCATCCAGGCATCCTGTAGAGTCATGATTCCCCCATTGGGCCCAGTAGATAGATTTACAGTAAAAACAGCATGTGCAGGCAAAACGGGGCCGTATGAGATATGGAAGCTCCCACAGAATATCCAGCAGGGGCTGCCGCCCTTGGAGGGTTCATGGTGACCTCAGCGCTGACTCACACAAGGTCAGCCAGATGTATGGGCTGTAGCTGGGACAGACTCAGCACGATGCCAGGTGGTGCTGAAGCTGTGACTCCTCACACTGTCATCAGTAATGGGGGGCGACCTAACTACCATTACATGGAGCAGGATCTGTTTGAATCAACTGGAACAGGAAACCTACCCTGTATCTGTATCCATCCATCCATCCATCCATCCATCCATCCATCCATCCATCCATCTATCTATCTATCTATCTATCTATCTATCTATCTATCTATCTATCTGTCTGTCTGTCTATCTATCTGTCTGTAAGCATACAAGATGCAGAAATTTGGATTTGATTAAAAAAGAGAAAAAGTTGAACGATTCTACCATGGCTACATGCAGTCTAACAGGCTATGTTGTAATAAAGGTAGAAGTGTCACATGGTCCAGAATGAACACAGGGGGCATTAAGTCATCTTTCACTCTTCCAGGTGTTGTACTGCTGGACTTGAAGGACGGACTAACAAAAACAAAGCCACACACACATACACAGGTTTGTAATTATATCTTTGTGGGGACTCTCCATTCATTTCTATGGGGAAAATTCTAATCCCAACATGGCGACCTTAACCCCTACCCAGCCCTAACCTTAACCATAAGTAACCAAACAAAATATAAGACTTTTTTTTATTGCATTCACAGATCTTTGTGGGAACCTAAAAAATGGTCCCTACAACATCAAAATCACAAGTTATTACATTCTGGGGGACATTTGGTCCCCACAAAGTAATATAAACCTAATACAGACACACGGACAGACAGACAGACACACACACTTCCCTCGCCCATGAATAGCTATAGGAACCAGTGCTATACACATGGCCTTAACACGGTCCGGGTGGGATGGTGGACAGAACCACTGGGGTGGAAGGAAGGAATTGGGATTTAACAAAACAATAGGCAGGAGCCACAACAAAAGACAGCTGTGCTGGTGTAATAACAGAGTGGACAACCAAAACGTACCCTGGGTTAAAGAAATCCAAGTGTGGCCATCAGAGTCCATGTGTGTGAACTGGGAAAAGAAAATCCCATGAACAAGAACCAGGTGGACATACTGAGACCTCCTCATCTGACGTCAGCCCACCATGGACCTGGCTGAGGGGGCGAGAGTTTACATCTGCCTATTACACAGCCAGCTCTGCAGGGGGCAGTATAACATGCCTAATTGCTGCAGAGTTCCTCAGCGTGTGGTAATCAGGCCCTGGCGTGTTTCATTTCACACAGAACCAGACGGACTAGCAACCAAAGCTAGCCTGCTTACACAGGAAGCCTGGAAATGTATTTACCTGACCCCAATCCGTGCTCCCCGAATGCTCGTAATGAGGTTCTTGCTTTGCTTGGTAGATATTGTGTACTAACCTGCACCAATACTGCTTACACACATATCCAGGCGCTTACCGGAAGCTCAGCCTAGCTGCGGTTATGCCTAGGTGACTCAGTGACAGCCGGATATTTGAAATGTGCAGTTTGCCTCAACTGTAAATTGCCATGAACAAAAGTATCTGCTAAACAAACATAAATGTAAATTTACGGATTAACATTTGTGGAGGTAAAGTGCACAGGGAGTAATGGCGGTGTGTGTTTCCCTTACAAAGTGGGACAAATGGGTATGAAACGCGGCTCCCAAATTAGCCCAGCCTACCGACGATGTCAGAGAGGTAAGAAAGCTGGATTTCCGGGCTTGCGGCTGTGCGACTGGAGAGAGCAGATGAGCACGACATGGAAACAGAAAAGCAGCGATGCCTGTTTTCCCCAAAAAAAAAAAAAAAATGGGTGTGCTTCGATTATCCCGGGACCAGGAGGCTGCACACGTGGAACTCACTAAAGAGAACCGACCTCTGGTTATCCGAAAATAAGCAGGCGGGCTTTTAAAAGCTGGCACCCGCCACAGCAACTCCATCCAGTGAAGAAAGCCGCTCGACCTTATAACCACTTAAGTGTTTCGGCAGTAAGTACTGTTGTAGATGAGAAACCAGACTTCTGGGTGAAGGACCTTTTAGCTAAAATCCTTGATATTGTAGCCGTGTTAAACCTACGTAAAGTACTGCTAAAGTCAGAAGTAAGAGCTTTGTGGGTCTTTTTCAAGCTTTCATTATCTAAGTACAGGTTAAACAATCCGAGGGCAAATAAAGATTAAATTATAACATTACCAGGGTGGATTAACATATCTGGCAACCCCAGGTTGACATCAGCATGGACAGTCAGGTGTTGCCAATTTAACTCACCGTGACCGTAATGCCCTGATGCTTGCTGGGGACTATAGCTGACGTTAGCCTATTCATTAATCCACTCCTGAACCTTACAGTCAACCTCAGGGAATCAGGGTTTATGAACATCAAAACAGCTTGTAGCACTAGGAGCTCTTACCCGTTGGCCAGGTCATCATCATCATCATCATCCTCATCATCATCCTCATCATAGTTGTCCTCGTGGAGGCTCTTGTTCAGCAGGTCACTGTCGCTCAAGTAGCCTGACTTGAGGTTGCCATCTTCGGCGTGGAGGCTCTCCACCAGCTCAATGCGCGAGATGCGGCTGAGGTGACTCGGGGCCCGCACCGGCGTGCCGTGGGGTCCGAACGTCCCCGAGACCGGCCCCCCCGTGGATGAGGGGGCGTCGCCAGCCTGGAGACGGGGGCTGGACTGGCCGTAGTGCCAGGAAAGAGGAGAGGAGCGGTTGGAGAGGCTGGAGACGCTGCGGGCGTTGGTCTCGTCGCTGTCGTAGCACACGCCGGTCTCCAGGCAGCTGCAGGGGTGGTGGGTGGGAAACACACACCATCAGGTATAAAGTTCACACCTGATGCCTCATCTAGGCAAGGTGTATGAGGTGGTGTAATGTTTACTGAGAAGAACCCAGAAGGTCGCAAAGTTAAGCTACTACTCAGCTTAAACTTAACGGTGGTATCTAACTGCACAAATGGACCTTGCACACAAGAAAGAGAACTTGTTCACTTATTCTACTCAAGCGGGAGTAGCAGAGAGCAGAGCCCTCCAGACTCGTTACAGGTTCGAACCTGAGGGAGGGATCCCCGCTGTAGCATCCCTCAAGAAGCCACTGAACCTCAGGCGAGAACGTCCATTAAAATATGGCTATAGATACTGAAATCCGTGACGCTAAATATCACGTCTTCCTTGAAAATTTAAACAGCATCTCGAGCGTGACTTCGGAGCTGGAAGTTTTATGCTCTTTTAAGGTTAAATAACCAGATGCACCAGCAAGGATGAGCAATGCGGTGACAGCCTCTCCCACGGCGCTGATGGGGATGCCAGAGCTGCGCCAGACCCTAAGATGCAGATATTCATCACGGAAATGTGCTGGAAGGAAAATAATTCCTGGATCTGGGATTTATTTCATTACTGTTGTCCCCACTATAGGGTGTTGCTTTGATCGTAATTAGGGTCATTTTTCATTTAATTTATTTCCTTAAATATAACTATCCAGAGAGACTTATGCTCATTATTGTAAAATTTAACATACGAACTTCAAACACCAGAGTATGCCGGCCAAACAGCGTCTACGTTTAATTAACCCTTCTGACACGTGGAAAAACTGCGCTGGTCGAAATATGCTGATTTGACCGCAGGTCCTGCTTGCTTTTATTACGAAGGTTCTTGAACACAGAGGTCTTCCCAGTCTGGGTGTGACAGAGAGGCTTAACCGCCCACTCTGACTCCACACCTGGGTCCGGCGGAATCCGGAACCCCCCCGGGAAACGTGACGGCTTCAATTCCCGCCCCTCCAGCTGTCCATGTCTGGCTCACTGCAGGATGCACGCAGCTCAACACATGCAGCCAGCCCGGCGCCCCGCAGCTACAGCTCTCCTAGCATGCGGGAGGATGTTGTCCGGGAAACGGCGGTGTCCTTGGTCTGACATCCGGCAGCCGGTCCTTGCCGCACCCCCCTCTTCCTCATGCGGGTTACATCCTGCTGCTCCTTCATCATTACTTCTGCATTTTGTTTTGTATCTTATCGCTTCATCTCCCAGTGTGCAGTTTGCAGACAGAGCCGCTGTTTACTGCCACTCACACCATGCATTTGCACAAGGGTCCCAGAGGCTTGGAACCCCTGTTGGCCACACATAGTCACTACACTAAATATTTCATAAACACATTCCTCTTTTAGGAGCAGCAGTATGCTCAGCTAACCAGTTAGCTTAGCTACGATCCCCTGACTCTACTCACTAGCTAATTATTTTTTGAAACATGCTGCTGGGGGGGGACTAAAGGTGACATTTTGCGAGCAGCCCCAGACACAACAGACTCGCCTTCATCTGTACCAGAGGTGGAAAGTTCATGTCCAGAAAGTTTTGTTTCAGCCAACCCGCTGAGTACTTTCCACCTCTGTAGGTCTGTAGGCAAGAGCGAAGTATCTCTTGAGGACCTGTTACTCTACTCGCATGTGTTTCCAAGGCCCTTAACTTTGCTCGTTGGAGCAGCCACACATCGGTAATCCTGCACCTTTTAGCTACCAGTCAGTTACCTTACATGCAGAACCAGCCAATCCCTTTCATGTCTGTTTGCTGTGGAGATCTGCATGTAGAGCTGCAGAGTCCACACCACATGTACCTTAGCTTTAGACCTACCCTGTCATCCAGCTCAGATGAGCAATCTCCCTCCCTATCGGGCCCTAGTACCGAGAGTCTGGCTCCTTTGTGACCTTTCCCTGAGGGCAGTTAAACTTATAAAGCTGCAATTATTTTAAATGACTACTTGCCTTGCCTGCTTGAGCACAATCATGTGGAACATGATCCATTCTCCTCCTGCTGTGTAGCAAAGCCACTGAGAAACCATCCTCAGCATCGTTTGATAAATTCGGTGATAAATTGAGCTCACAGAATTAAATGACACTAGCATTTGTTCTTTTGGGACTAGACAAGCTGTTACTATTGAATATTAAAAATTATTAGTGTTTTTGTTAATATAACAATATGGAGAAAAATGCTTTGCTCTTTATACTTTAAAGTGTCATTTTCTGATAAATTCTACATTACTGTGTATGTATATATTAAAGGGTGATAAATCAGGCAATCACAACTGAACCTATTTTCCTAGCGTCATTTTTAAGCTTAGGTCAAGCAATCGCTATCAAGCACAAGGTTGTAGACTTTATTCGAATGTTCAGCAGAATAAGAAATTTTAATGTCTGGACTCGCCTGTCGGCATCCAAGCCCACTGAGATGTTGTGGTGAGACCAGAAAGCAGCAGCTTCTGCTCTGGAAACCACACATGTCACTGAGTTGAACATCTGGAGCAGCTTGCATGTTCTTTCCGTGACCGTGTGGATTTTGTCTGAGTGCTCCTGTTTCCTCCCTCTTTCCAAAGACAATCGGGGTCTCTAAATTGCTAACGACGTGTGCTTCTGTGAACTCAGAGACAGACGAGCAAACAAGGTGTTCCCTGCCTCCTACCCTATGCATGTTGGAATGGGCTTCAGTAACTACAGCAATCATTCATTTGAAGTCATTGGCTGGTAAAGACGGTGGAATGAGTGATTTTTCATGTGGGAGGAACTTTGTAGGGTTGCGCAATTCATAGGCTGGACAAAAGCCTTAAGGCTTAGATTGAGAGCACCACATTTCCATGAGGAACCTCTACGGAGGATATTTGGCACCAAGCAGCACAGGCAGATACGTCAGAGAAGGGACAGGCTGTGTTTTCCAAGAGACAAACACAGAGAAAAAACACATTACATCATTTCTATGTCTCCCACACTCCAAAGTACGCAGGGGGCCATTGAGTTATCCTATTGGAGGCCTAGGTCCAAAAACCTACCACTGAAATCCCTGGTGAAGCATTCCGTACTGCCTGAAGATTAACTTGGTCAGGAAATGCAGGGAATTTGGCAGGAGTACATGGTGAGAAGTAAACATAGTGAGGTGAAAACACTGCAGCTCCACATTTAACAACATTGTCCACAGAAGTTTTCACCAAAATGTAGAACACTCCATCTGTCAATGTAACTAGAACTTATTGGCTAGTAGGAGGCAGCACATGCAAACGTGGCTCGAAAATTAGGTATAAACCAAAGTTAGTGAACGATAACATCTGGTATTGTTGGAAACGGTGAAGTGGGCCATTGTGCGTCTTGGTGTGCCTGCAATTGCCTGGATCTCAATGCTATCAAAAAAGTGAAGATTGGCTTCTACAAACACCTCTTTGATTGCTCGTGCTGGAAATAACAGAGCTCCACCAAAGTAGCAGGCTGAAGAACATCACCACTAACATGACCTACAACACTCGCTTTTGGCAAGTTCTACATGTCCTTCATCTAAATGAGAACCAAATGGCATTAGAAGTGTTTACTTCCCAGAGCTTTTCTTGGTCAACGATCCACCCTAAATGAATCACACCCTCCCTATCCTCCCCAGCTTAGCTGATCACTGTCTGCTTGTACACTTATCTGTTACAGAGTGAGCTCATAAGCTAGATTATCACTTTTTTATTTGGAAATTTGCCATGTTCCTGAAATTGTATTTTGTTCTCCATTGTACATATACTTCTCTGAAAATGCAACATGACATAGTCAACCCATGGATAAAGTACCAAATATTTAACAAATGTTTATTAATAATGATACTAATATGCCTAATTTATTTACACTTAACAAAAAGACCCAACTATTAATTACAAGACATAAAAAGAGATGGAATAACAGGTAAATCCAAAACCATGGATACTGTGCATTCTCTAGTTTGATCAATTACTGCAGTTTTCACACTTTGAACATCAGCACTAGAGTCCACCTCTGATTCGCTGATAGACGCTGGTTTCTGATTGGCTGACAGGCACGGTTGTCACTGACCTGTGACTGAGTTGCGACCCCCGCAAACTGGACATGGTATCCTCCAGGTTCTGCCTGAGATCCAGAACATTCTGTACCGTGCGCTTCCTCTGGGACTCCGGGTCTGTAGGAGTAAACATTAATAAGCACGTGTTAGCATCACAATAAACGTGTCACTCGTGTTATATACAAAACCGAAGCACTTCCTTTCATGTCTCTTCACAGACTTGACACCTTATGGCTACATTAAAGTGTGTTTTATATTGTTTAATTCTAAGTTGATTTTTGTTTTTCCTTTAACGTGCAAAATGTGTGAGGACCAGAAGATTTATACAACCCTTTTCTTAAAAGGCTTTTGCGATGAGTTATCACTGAGAAGGGCAGCCAAAAAGTGAATGTGACCATAACATCGTTCAATTTGTGGAGCCCCGCCTCCCATTTCTTCAATAATACATTACGAGGGTTAAGGGTCTCCCTATTCTTATTACGCTCATTATTAAAGCCCATAATGCAGGTAATCGGCGTGCCTCTGTGACATGATTAACTGTCCTCTCCAAAGCCTCAATTCTTCAACACCTTAGAAACACAAGATCGCCACTCGGAAGGTGCATATCTCGAAAATCAGATTCACTACCATTTGGCAGGTCACCAAAAGGACCGCATGCAGCCACTGCATTGATTGCAGAATCACATTTTCCGGTATTAGCGTGGAAATAAATCCGACCAATGAGGATGTACTGCTGGCAGCTTCACCGATGTGTGATAGGAAAGGACGTCACGATATTCATGCTTAGTAGTAAATTTCAGTAATGAATTGAGGTGTGAATGCCCTGAACCTCAGATACTGATGTAGGCAGTGAACTTTCCAGAAGCACATACAGCATAAGCATGTAAAGAATTCCGAATTCCCAGGAGTTTGCCATGGCAACGGCAAAGCAGTACATCCATGATGAGGGTTATATGAATGCAGCGGCTGATTATGTCTATACTGCTGTGGAGGGAGACAGCATATTAGTGTTCTGCTTGACATTCCCAGGAAAGAAACTTCCGATGGAAAACTATTCCTTTGAGAAGCATCGGTGAGCTTTTCATTGGTCAACAAGACTGTAGGGTGACCAGACTAGACTGGTCTTTACTGTCGCTTGTCTTTCTTACCTTTAATTAGCTTTGACATTCCTTTTGATAGTGAATGTCAAACATCACCGAATTGCTTGCACAGGTCTCAAGAGGCTGGCCCAAGAATCCTTATCTAATCAGAGGGGATCCTCTCCACCAGAATTCTGCATTATCTGGACCTCATTCCCTGTTATTCCGGTCAAAGATGTGAAACTGATAAAGGTGCTGGAAAGATGTACAGTGTAGAGGTAAATGTGAGCGTTTATCTCATGGCACATGGTGGACCACTGCTCAGGAAGAGACGGCAGTTTCTACAATACACTGCAAGGTCAGATGTGTGGCACCGATAATGCCAATATCAAAGCACAGACAACGCTAATGATACCAATCAAATCAAAACCAATGCTAACAATGCTAATATCAAATCACATACAATGCTAATGATACCAGCATCAAATCACAAACAGTGCTAAAGCTGCTAATATCAAATCACATACAATGCTAACAATACCGATATCAAAGCACAGACAACACTAATGATACCAATCAAATCAAAAAACAATGCTAACAATGCTAATATCAAATCATGTACAATGCTAAAGCTGCTAATATCAAATCATGTACAATGCTAAAGCTGCTAATATCAAATCACATACAATGCTAACAATACCGATATCAAAGCACAGCAATACTAACGATGCTAACATGAAATTCCAAACAACAACGCTAAAAACACCAATACAAGATAAAAATCACGGCCAATAACGACAAAACCAATATCACACCGAAAACCATGGTAATGCTAATAATGCAAATATCCCAGGACAATGGAAATATCTTTGCATTTTATTTTGGGACAGGCGCTAAAGGCAGGTTTGTAAAATAAGCCACCCGTCTTTTGCAGACGATTTTGATCTCGACGACCCAGCTTCAGAAGAAACTAGCTTGCACTGAGCGTGCTGTGGCACGTGGGGGATGTCTGGTAATCATTGGGTTAAATTCAGATTTGAGTTTTACCGTCATGACAGGACTGTCAATAATATATTATTCATATATTGCAAATAAAGTGACTGACATAGCTGGCTAAAATACTTCATTTAAAACCATAACAGCTATGCGGAGGTGACAAAAATCTGTGTATTCTTCATCCTGATGGGGGAGTCATCAGCCACGTGTTCCCTCCAAAAAAAACGTCGCACTTCAGGGGTCCCCAAATGAGTTCTGCTCCATACTGAGGGCAGGGAGGGGTCCAGTGCTCTTGGGTGGTTCCTGGTTGGCTTACAAACCAATCAGGATGCATAAACAGCCTAATGGATGTCACTGAGCTACAGGATGCGTAGTGACAATTAGGGCAAGTCGCTCCGCATCTTCGGAGAGCATCAGCAATATTCTGTGACTTAGACAGGCAGCTAGAGGAGACAGGGAGCGATATGACCCCAGTTACCGCATGAAGCCGCAGGCGATGAAAAGGTGTAGCGTGGAGCAGAGCACCCAGGCAGCAGAATCAAATCATTAGTCGAGCATGACGGGAACCTGCGGCACCAAATAATGAGGGTCTTGAGGGCCTGAGGCTACTGCTTGGTCCTTCACCTATTTTGCGGCAAAAGCCTTTGGTGGTGGAGGGGGGGTGTGTGTGCGGATTGATGGGTAGAATTGTGGTTAATGCGTCTTGTGGTGAAACATCTGCTAATGCCTTACTGAATGCCTATCAGGGCACCACTCAAACCATGAACAATTAGGGCCCCCCCTGTTGGCCACAAACAGTCACTACACTACGTATTAAGTAAACATGTTCCTTATTTATGCGATGCTGAAGCAGCATGTTCTGTTAGCCAGGTAGTTAGCTATGATCATCTGCTGCTACTCGCTAGCTATTTATTTAGCTTTTGAAACATCTGAGGGAGGGGGGTTCAATGACTGCCGTGGATCAGGCACTAGTGCTAACGCCGAGATTAGCTGCTCCATGGCGTGTTTTGTTTAAGCCTCAGGCCCTCCTCTGCGGCCCTGAGCTGCGGTCAGCATAATGCTTGGACAGAATTAAATTAACACCACACCAGCACAGAGTGGCTGTGTTCTGCTACACTGATATCGCACAAGCTTTTTTCCCCTTCGCCATTATTTGGCTCCAGAACTTGCAAAATGACTGGTGTGCAGCTCCAGCTGATCTCCAGCATGGAGAATCACGTGTTAAAAGCCAGTCTGAAAACCAGATCTGCACCCCCCCCCCCAACCCCCACCCCGTCACGAGGGGGTCACAATACCCAGAGGGGTCTCTCCATCCACCAGCTGGGGCCTGAGAACACTTTCTGCATCTCAGAAAGTTCTGAGCCCTACAAATTGATTTCTCCCCCAAGCTGGTATGGGATTGATTACCGCCGGGAACAGCCAGCGGGTGATGAAGTCACCATGAGCTTCTACAAGCCTCTACCTGCTTGCCTGTGTATGACTGCGCGGCGTGATATGCAGTTATATGAATGTATACAAACTAAAATGCTACACATATATGAAAACTAATTACATGTACAAACAAGTCAATATTTGCATATAAAAAGTAGTTATTGCCGTTTTCATGTTTGTGATACGATACAATGGGCTGCATGACCTACAGTGTCCCACTAGGGGGCACAGTGGTGAAGGCGCAAGTCTTTGTCAGTGGGGGAGAAACAGGCGATTTCCCTTGATGGAGCAGATTCCTGTTTTACCCCCCCCAGGTCTCCACTGCTGCTACAGCACCCAAAGTGTGGAGCTCATCACAAGGCTTCTGAATAACATTTTTGGAATAATCGCTGAATCCATCCACCCGTCTTTTGATTGCTTATCTGGTCAGGTTTAAGGGGGGGGGGGGTCTGGACCCTATCCCAGCCATCGCAGGGTAAAAGACTGGGGTACAAGACTGAAGAAGATGCCAGGCACTCATTAATTGATTTTACAAAAAGAAAGGAGTTAGTAATAATTCCCATTAAAAAGCCCATGATATGCAATAAACGGAGGCCTTTTTAATGGTTTTTGCTCATTTTAACCACTTGAGGTTGAATTGATGCCAATACAGGAAACAAAAACCACAGCGTTTACCAAGATATGCCCACTTAGACTTTCATATAGTACTCAGTTCAACTGGGTCAATAAAGTCGGGAAGAGACATTTAGTAAGTAATCATACAGGTAGCGTGAATGCAGGTTGATTTCCTTAATATTTTTGTATTCTCCAGCTCACTCTTGAAAACTCTCTCACCACTCTCCCACCTAGTCTCTACTAATCAACCCAGATTACATTTATTTAACAGGGTAGAGTAATCAAACCCCACTCTCTCTAGCATGGATATGAAGTTTACATCATAGCAGATCATAATCAATATTTGATAAACTAACTAAACTAATAATATACCAAAATAAAAGATCTGTTCCATCATATTACTAGCCACACCAAGGGCACAAAATATTTAAAATTATCGGAAACCCAACACAGAGTAATGTTTGATATTTAAACTGTGTCTTTAAGGTATGACTGAACTGAAGTTCATATGACCGGGATAAACACATGTTTCTACAACTGCATACAAGATGCATCAGTCTGCACTACATTGATTTCGCATTATAAGCTTGTTTGTGTTAATTAAGCAATGGGCAGCTTGGTGTGTCAGTCCCTCACTGCGGCTGGGGCTCTCTTTTGTCTCAGGCAAAAGGTGATGTTTACATGTTCCGCTCTCATGATGTCCGTCACACATTCGGCATCAATTTTCATGGCTCCCACAGCTTAAACACCCCTTGTTCCCTCTTGATGGTGAAATATTGGGGCAGAACACAGGAATTAATTATATACAAGAAACAACTGGCCTCAGTGAAATCTTAGCTTAGTGCGTGCCATGGAGTCGAAGCCAACTTTAAAATTTGCGGAGTCGATGATGCAAGATGGAATCACGTCAAGCATGATCCTGACACACTTGTGTCAGATCCTGGAGGGACACAGAGTCTTGCTGGGTCCTGACAATAAACAGATGAGAAAGCATTG